GCGGGGGGGGGGGGGGTGGGGTGGTGGTGGTACATACAAACTGCGAACCAGGCTATCACGGCTAGATCGGACTGCTGAAGCTTGGGGTTGGCATATCTTGAGAAGGTGAGACATATCAAAACGAAGAGGGATATGAGACCCGCGAAGGAGAGGAGGATTGTGAGCAAGGGGGTTGTGTTGGCTGTGTAAAAGGGGACGGTGGCGTCGGGGGGGTAGTAAGGATGGCTGATCCCGTCGAGGGGGGAGTAGGGTGTGCTGCTCATTTTGGTTGCATCTCGCCCATCAACTCTAGGTCAGAATAAAAAGGAAGGCGAAATAAGAGATGGAATCTCTTTGTTTACATTGATGCGGATGTGGGAGGTGTGGTGGACCCTGATGCACAAGCTGGGTTGGGTGAGTGAATTTCAGGGGTAGCAAATAGTGCAGGGGTGGCACGGGTACATATTTGATGATGAAACTTCTATATAAACAGTCACAACACATTTAACCAAAGATACAACACTCAAAAAATCTATTACCAACACCCAGCGGCGCTTTCCATCTATTCACAAAACACTCCACACTCTCAACCCCCATTTCACCCCCCTACTGCAACATCGAATCCAAACTCTCCCCCAGCTTCTCCTCAATCCCCACAATCCACCTCGCATTCTCCCTCTCAACCCCCTCATCCTCATCATCCTGCAGCTCGCTAATCCTTGGCAGCATCTCCGCCAACCCCCTCAACCACTCCTCCTCCAACCTCTCCGTCAAGCCCTGCTGGCACCTAATCACCGCCAACCTCACCGCCACCACCGGCGACTCGAGGTGCTTCAGCAAGCTCGTATTCAACTCCTTCCTATGCTCCTGCGAGTCCACCGCAGCAGCCAGCTCCACCACCGCAGGGATCAACTCTTCCATAGCATCAAAGTTGGCGGCATGCAAAAATTGCTCCACCAACACCGGAGCGACAGCATTGTAATGCGAAGGCGCCTGCCAGAAGCCGTCCTGGTCGTGCTTGAAGCATGTTGTCAAAGTGCGAACCACACGCTGCCACAGGAGCTTTTCATTCTCCCTGGCAAAGTTGGTGCCAGACAGGATGCTGCTCGCGCTGTCGACGATATACGAAGCGTAGTTTGTGATGATGGACTTGAGTGCCTCAAAAAAGGCGTCGAGGAAGGTGTACAAGCTCACCAACCTCAATGTCCGACCGCTGGCATCACTCTTGGGGAGACCAGACCAGCCCCATTCGACTAGCTTGCTAAAGACGGGGCGGAAAACGGCGTCGTGAAGCTTGTAGATCATCTTGAGGGCGGTCTGGATGATGAGGCTGTCGATCTGCCCAAGCTGCTCCACGCTGAGCTCGGTCTTGATCTCGCCGGTAGCCACCACTCTCCTGAGATCAAGCGTCTTGGTAAAGATTTCAGAGAGGATGTTGATGTTCTTGGTCACGGCCGGGCGAGCATGCTTGTCAAGGGCCAGGCCGAGAATGTCGAGGAATTCTGTGATGGCGGCGAAACCAGACTTGGCGGCGGTGGCCCAGTTGTTGTTGAGAGCAGTATAGAGGACCTTGGGGTCGACCAGCTTGGCCAAGAGCTGCAGGCAGTGAGAGCGGTTACGAGCAGACTCGGCGTCAAGATCGGCAACGGCTGAGGCGTTGGAGCAAGCCAGGAGCCTATCCAGGGAAGCACCCGAGATCATGTAGGGGATGTGCTGAGCCAACGCAGCCACGAAGGCATACGAAGCGTTGTGCAGCTCATTGTTGGGCTTGTCACCCGACAAGCTCTCCTCCAAGTATCCTAGCGTCTTGGGAATAGCAACCGGAAGGACAGGCACAATGCCATCTTGAAGAACATCGACGAGCGACGCCAAGCACAACAGCGCCATAAGCCGAAGAGCCTGAGACGACTGGCCAAGGCAATGGTCCCCTGCTATGGTCTGAGCAGCCGCAGCCACAGCATCCAGGTCCTTTTTGCCGTACTTCTCGGAAATTTTGTCGACACACGTCACAGCAGTGTGCTTGTAGTTCATGTCGTCCGACTCCCGGATGACAGCGGTCAACTGGGGCAAGAAAGCCAGCAGGGCCTCGCGGGACTTGGGATCGCCCGTACTTTCCTTGTCGACGCGAAGCTCCAGGGCCTGCAACACCTTGCGGCGCAGGCCGATATCCGGTCTCTCCAACAACGAATCCACGCTCTTGATGAACTCGGCAATGGACAGCAGGCTAAGCAGCTTGGCCAAGGCATCACCGCAGCGGCTGTAGAGGGCCTTCTTGGCCTTGAGATTGCTGGCCATGGAGAGAATACCCTCCAGGAGTTTGGCATACGAGTCCCGAATCTTGACGGATTCCATGTCGTCTCTTTCGGCCAAGGCCGTGATTTCCTGCTTGAGGCGGCTGTTGGAAAGAAGGTGGGGGAGGAGGGTAAGCTGCTTCAACGCGGTCTTGTCCGCGTCGGAGTCGTTGCCAATCAGGCTGTTGGAGAGCGCGGGCTTGGGCTTGAAGATGTCACTGACCAGATCCAAGAACTTGATCAAAGAGTGAAGCTGAATCTCGACGGAGAAGCAGCTCATAATGTACGACGTGAAGGAGAACATCTCATCCGTAGCTCCGTACCTGTCAACGAACATGGCAAGGACAGCAAACAAAAAGTCATCCGGGCCAAGGTTCTCAACGAGCGAAATGAAAATTTCTCGCTTGCGAGTGGGAGGGATATGTTCGTAGGCCGTTACAAAGCTGGCCAAAAGGTCCTTGGTGCTGGCAACCAAGTTCCGCCCCTTGTTGCGGAAAGTGGCAATCAGCGGAGGAATAACCTGCTGAACAGTCTTCTTGACAACAGACTGGGAGTAGTTGTCAGCCTGTCTGAGCACCGAGCTACCCATGAATGTGAAGATCGGCATAACGCTCTGCAACACAACATCGGGAGCTGTGCGGGCCAGGCTGGCGACAACCAAGAGAGCCTCGTTTGTGACCTGGGCGCTCGAAGAATTTTGCACGCAGGCAGCCAGGATATCACCATAGCCAACAGAAGCATCGATTGTTAGGTCCTTGTTGTTGTCATACGCGGGAATCATGGCGCCGATGCTGCTGAGAACAAGAGTTTGCATGTATCCAAGCTCGGAGCCCACCAGCTTGCGAAGATGATGGATGTCCGACAGAGTCGTGAACAGACTGGGGAGCAGCTCAGGGTGGTTCTCAGGCTTGGAACCCTGGACGAGTTCAAGCACAAAGTTCATCTTCTTGACAGTCTTCTGAACCTCTAGGCTGATCGTGTTGGAGCTCACAGGCTGGGCTGCTGTGCTGGTACGTCTTCGCTTGTTGGCGGGAACCTCGGTCGCCATCCTCGTGTCCTCGTACTGGAGAGAGTCAACAAAGGCCAGGAGAATATCCGTGGTCAAGTCAACATTTCTCAAGAAACCAGCGGCCTCTACCGCAGCAGTATCCTGGCCAGAGCTCTGAGAAAGTTCAAGCATGACGTTGGCAGTCAACAACTTGGCCTGTGACTTCATGGTCGGCCACATCTTCGTGGTGCGCTCGAAGATGGCAACGACAAGAGTTGGTCTTGTCTGAGGATCCTTGATAAGCTGGAAAAGCAAATCCAGGCCGTCGTGCTGGCTTGGAACAACAGTTCCAACGGCTGCCAGATCCAGTGCCTTCTCGTCCAATGACTCCAAAGCAGCACGCTCGGCGGCCTCGGTGCTGGTGAGGGAAGCCCATGAACGAAGCATAGCAAGCAATAGCTCGGTTCTATATGTGCCGGAGATGCTCTTGATCTTGTTGATGCCCTCCAGCAAACGGAGCTTGGCGGTGAGCAATGGTGTTTCTGTGATGTGTGCACAGAAAAACTTGAAAATCGCCAGTCTCGTCTTCTTGTCTCCCAGTTTAGAGTTCTCCAAAGCGCTAGAGATGATGATGCCAATCTGGTCCTCATGGGTGACGGCTTCTTCCAGAGATGGAACAAGAACGGAATCAAGTAAACACTTGAAAGCGGCAGAGTCCATAGAGACGCCGCTCGCACCATAGAGGTCCTTCGCGCCCCAAACATCCTCGGAAGCCTTGAAAGTGGCTTTGAGAACAGCGATCAGATCTGCCGCAGCACGACGAACCTTCTTCGAGGGATCAGCCAAGGCAACAGCGGCGTAAAGAGCAATGACCTGCAGATCAGTTTTGGTGGATTCGCTCTCCTTGATGCGGTTTTTGACCCTTTCCAAAGCGACCACCTTGGCCAATGCTGGGTGCGGGCCACACCAAACCCGCATGTAGAAGCTGAAGTAAAAAGCATCGTTGAGAGCCTGATCACGGCTGAGAACAGGGGCAGCATCAAATCTTTCAAGGTCGACTTGCTCGATCGCAGCAGACAAGAATACCGCGCAGAGGTCGTTAAACACACCGGATTCCTGAGACAAGCAAGAGGTCTTGGACGGCTGAAGCTTTTCAACTTGCTGAAGCGTGGCATCCAGACTCGGTCTTTCTTCAATTGCCATGGCCTCCACGCCCTCCATCATATCATCTGATCCCTCAGCGATGGTCAACTTCGGGCGGATAGCTGCCCTAAGCTTGAGCTCAAGCTCCTCAATGTTGAAGTCGACCTCCTCTATGGCCGCTCGGATAGCATCGCCATTCTTATCCTTGAGCTGCGCAAGGCTCACGAGAGTGGAAGCCAGCTCCTTGCGAATAGTACCCTGTGGGTCAAGCTCATCGTTGAGCTTGTGGGCTGCCAGAAGCAATGACTTGTAGACGACCTTCACTTGCATCTGGTCAAGGAAGCCGCCCAAAATGATGGCCTTGACTCCTTGAAGAGCCCGGAAGTTGCCCTTCTTCGACAATCTATCCACGAAAGCCAACGCAGTCCCATTGGCCAACTTGCGCACACATTGCGTCTGGTTGACCATCTTGAACTTGCCCACAAGATCGTCGATTTTGAGAAGGGCCTTGGCAACGCGCGAAGTCACGGGCTTTGCAGCGCGGGCGTAGGCAAGGCAAGCCAATGTGAGAAGACCCTGATCAACAGTCTTGCTTTGCCACCCAGCCACAAGTTGGTCCATGAAAGCGACGAGGGCAGCATCGTTGAGACGGCCCTTTCTGGCCAAGACAAGAACGGGCATGTAACTCGCCATTTGGAGTTCCGGACTTTGTCTCATCATCATGCCTCTGCTCAACGCTGGAGTAACCTGCTGAAGAAGCTTCTGGGTGTTCTCAAGCTGGATAGCCTTGTTTCCAGACCGCCCCTTGTCGATCCTGGCGTTTACAGACTGCGTCATGACGCTGAACCATAACATTGTTGCGGCATGATAGTCGTGCTTTTTGTCGCCCAAATCGAGGGTATACTCTGATATCGCGGTCAACAATTCGCGGTGGTTTGTCGCTTGCGTAACGATGACCTCGATCGGTGGGTTCGTCAAGGACCGGATATAGGGGTCCAAGAACCGGTACTCGTGGGGGAGGTTGCTAGGGAGAATCGAGAGCAATGTAACAAAGACTGGGATGGTGTGGAATGGAAGGAAACAGGTGATGAGCGTCCGGGTGTTGAACTCGTGGATCCTAGGCTCAACTGTCAGCTCCCGATCATACATAACATGGAGGCAGAGAAGAGAAAACCCACCTAAATCTTCGAATCAGCCACTCGATGGCTTTGATAGCGGGCATGAGCTGTAGACGGGCGGCCGCAAGCTGAAGAAATGATTCCACACGCCTGTCAAGCGTAGCGTTTTCGTCGGCCGTCATCTGGGTCCGGTCGGCCTGCTGACTTTCCTCGCTGAAAAGATGGGCCGCGAAGGGTCTGAATCGACTGTCGATCGTACATAGCTCGTCGAAGCCTTCGCGGGCTACTCTGTAGATGTCGGCATAGGTCTGGCCAGCGGCGGCCTGGGGCTCGAAAATCAAGGACTTTGAATGCGCGGCTTTGGCGAGCTTTCCGTCAAGGATGACGCGGGAGTTGGCCTGAACAGCCTTTAGCTGCTCCAGGAGGGAAGACATTATATCTAAGAGCGCCTATAACTGCCAATAGTAGGCGTGTTGTTGCAACTTGAAGACGTTCAACTGCAAATTGAAGGCGTCTGGTTTTTCGTCCTAGGCCTGTTGCTGCGATTGCGACGCCTGTTGCTGCGAATTTAAGGCGTGCCTTAAGCAAGGAGACGCGGGTCGTGATCGGATTGAAGGCCTGTTGCCTACCACGATTTCCTATCAGTGGTTGCGACAGCGATCGCCTTGTTGATTACGGCGTTGCTTCTGTTTCATGGACTTTCGCAACAATCGAGAGTTGAACTCTAGAAATTTTGGAAAGTGGATCCGATAAGATAGCTTCAGCCAATGATATGTGGCCGATAAGGCTAGCTCTGGTGGGATGCAGCTGCCGTCCATCAGGGTCCAGAAAAAAATTCCAGGCTTGGAGGAACACACCACTGCCATACATATTAAACAAAAGCACACCAACTTCCAGTCTAGATTTGCGCGATGGCCGAAACATTGAGCATACGCCCCTCCAAGAGGAGAAGAGTTTCCCCTACTGGGGAGACAGCCGACGGATCGAACGGAAACGACAGCAAAATCCAGAAGCAGTTCTTCAAGACCGCCGCCAACTGGAATCTCGAACAAAGTTACGAAGAACGATCCCGGAAAGGCAAGAAGAAGGATGCAAGAAAGGCAGCCGCCGAGGCTGGGAGGCTGCCTTCCCGGACTGCCGCAGGAACTTGGACTGTGAAGGAGGACGATGCCGCTTCTGTGGCCAGCGACAGCGAATGGCTCGAGGGCGAGGACAACGAAGATGCGGAACCCGAAGAAGCAGAGGAGGCTGCCCCCGAGGAGCCCCAGATCCCGGTGAAGGAGCAGATTCGACGCGCACAGGAAGAACTCGCCAAGGTTGCGACACAGTTGAACGAAGACCCCGAAGAATACCCCGGTGCATTCAAGGCAATGTCCAGGATTGGCGATTCCCAGATTATGGCCATCAAGAAGATCTGCATGGTTACGCAGATGACGGTGTACAAAGATGTCATCCCAGGCTACCGGATAAGACCTTCTACCGAGGAGGCTGGTGAGAAGCTATCGAAGGAGGTCAGGCGGCTGCGAACATACGAGCAGGCGTTGGTGACGGGTTATCAGGGGTATATCAAAAAGCTTGCCTATTTCGCTGCTTCGCCATCAGCCGAAATGAGCACTCGCGGCCAGCCTATTTCCACCATCGCGATCAACTGCGCCTGCACTCTAGTCAACTCAGTACCACATTTCAACTTTCGGGGCGATCTGCTGAGGATATTGGTCAAGAAGCTGAGCACTCGCAAGGTTGATGCTGATTTTGTCAAGTGTAGAGAGACTCTCGAGACTCTTTTCAGGGAGGACGAGGAGGGAAACGCATCCATGGAAGCTGTGTCTCTGCTCAGCAAGATGATGAGGGCCAAGGAATATCGCGTTGACGAGAGTGTACTCAACACATTCCTTCACCTTCGTCTTCTGGGCGAGTTTGCAGGCAAGGCCTCGCAAGATAGGGCCGATCGGCCCACTGATGGGTATAACGGGAAGAAGCTCAAGCAGAAGAAGCAGTTCCGGACGAAGAAGGAACGCAAGCTTATGAAGGAGCAAAAGGAAGCCGAAAAGGTCATGGCTCACGCAGATGCCGCGGTCAGCCATGAAGAAAGAGAGAAGATGCAATCGGAAACCCTGAAGATGGTTTTCGCGACCTATTTCAGAGTTCTGAAAGAGCGGGTGCCACACCTTATGGGAGCTGTTCTGGAAGGGTTGGCCCAATATGCTCACCTCATCAACCAGGATTTCTTTGGCGATCTTCTTGAAGCTCTGAAGCAGCTCATTCGTTACAGCGAGATGCCCGAGGAAGAAAACGAGGATGAACAGATGGCGGAGGACGGCGACGAGGAAGAAGTCATCCGCGACACCAGCAGAGAATCCCTGCTGTGCACCATCACAGCATTTGCGCTCCTCGAGGGCCAGGATGCCCACAACGCTCGCACCGACCTGCACCTCGACCTTTCCTACTTTATCACACATCTTTACCGTGGTCTTCTCCCCCTATCGGTGAATCCTGATCTGGAGCTGGGTGCCAAGTCCCTCCATCTCTCTGACCCGAACGACGAGTCAGGAGGTAATCGCAAGGACACCAGGATCAACGTGCAGACGACCACAGTCCTACTCATGCGCTGCCTGAGCGGTGTGCTTCTTCCACCCTGGAACATCAGGTCCGTACCGCCTCTCCGTCTGGCCGCCTTCACCAAGCAGCTCATGACGGTGGCTTTGCAGCTGCCGGAGAAATCGTGTCAGGCGATGCTTGGGCTTTTGGGTGAGGTGGTGCACACACATAACAGGAAGGTCAACGCGCTCTGGAATACTGAAGAGAGGAAAATGGACGGCACATTTAAGCCTCTGGCTGAGACGGTCGAAGGTAGCAATCCATTTGCCACGACGATCTGGGAAGGGGAGCTCTTGAAGAAGCACTATTGCCCCAAGGTTAGGGAGCAGCTGAAGACTATGGAGAAGGAGCTCAAGAGTCTTTGATCGTGTTGGACAGTGTTAATAGTTATTCAAGTCCATTGTTAGCGCCAAAAATATGCATTGGGAACAATATGCCCTTCTTTTATTTTTTCACTTGTTGCATCATTTTTACTGCTTTTTATTCCATTCAACGCACTCTTGCAGCGTGACACCGCTCCCGCCGAAGCAATCCAGGGCGCTGCCGATTGTTAGGTCCACTTTCCCGTTGCTGAGCTTCTTGACCATCTCCAGATCATCCAGATTCCTACCGCCGCCAGCGTATGTAACGGGGATACTGCACCACCTGGCCAGGTTTTCCACCAGCTTTTCGTCAATGCCACGCTGCAGGCCTTCGTTGTCGGCAGCGTGGATGAGGAACTCTGAGCAATACGGCTCGAGCTGTCTGATAGATTCTGTTTTTCTCACCGTCAGTTTGCCATTGTTCCTTCCGCCTTATCAGTACCGAAAAGATGGAGAAGAAAGACTCACCTTCACAAACCTCCATATCTGTGATCGTCTGCCACTTATCCATGGCAACAAACCACCTATCCTCGCCCTTCCTCCTGCAGCTCAGATCAATCACCAGCTTCTCCTTGTCCCCACCAAGCGCAACAAGGACTTTGTCTAGTCTCTCCTGGGAGAAAGTCCCGTTGGGAAAGAGGTAGGATGTGATGATCACTTTTGAGGCTCCGAGGTTGATCCACTCCTGGGCGTTGGTCTCGTTGATGCCGCCGCCGATTTGGAGGTTGTTGGGCCAGGCGGCTAGGGACTCGATGGCTGCTGTGCGGTTGCCGGGCCCGAGCATGATGACGTGAGCGCCGTGGAGGTCATTTTCTTTGTAGAGCTTGGAGAAGTAAGATGGGGGGTGGGGGGAGATAAAGTTGGTGAGGAGGGAGGTGGTTTTGGAGTCGAGGGTGCCGCCGACGATTTGTTTGACTTGGCCTGAGTGGAGGTCTATGCAGGGGCGGAAACGGGTCATGTTGGTGGTGAGGGAGGAACAGGGGGTGAAAAAGGGGGTGGGTGGGTGAGTGAATGTTTTGGCGGGGTAGCTTTTGAGTGTGAGTGAGTGAGTAAACGATGAGGGAGTGGGTGAGCAATTGTCGGAGGGGTGATGTGAATACACGGTATTTTCATCCAATTTGCGGTGGTTAATGTGGAATTTACGCAAATGGTACGAAAGATGGTAACAGATAAGATAAGGAAAGCCATCGAGGTTCTGCTACCGCAAAGCTCCCCGAAATTTTTGGTCAAGAGCTCCCATCCCACCTTGCAATTCACCACCAACACGCACCTCACAAATCTCAATCGCAAAAATGCCAAGCGGATTAGGAAAACGAAAGGCGCCTCCCGCCGAAGAGGACGTGGTGGACGCCCAAGAAGCCCTCAGACGGCACTTTGAGGCTCGATTCAAGATGCCCGCTGGCATCGCCCCATGCGCCGCTCCACCATCCAAGAGACAGGCCCGCGATGAGGATGAGGATGACGAAGAAGAAGAAGAAGAAGAAGAAGACGACAGCGACTTTGACAGCGACGAATCCGATGCCGAATCCTGGGATGGTGTCTCTAGCGAAGAGGAAGAGGAAGACGGTACGCCGACCTGTCACAACCGCATTTGGCAAGACCACCAAGTGCTAACCAGAGGCGTAGCAGACTCGGAAGAAAAAGGAGAATCCCACGTCGTAGAGGTGGTCGACTACAGTCAAGACCCTTCCTCAACCGCGATAACCTCCCTCATGAGCAAAAAAGAGCTCAAAGCCTACCTCGTACGTCTTTTGTCAATTAACTTCACTACACAAATACTAACCAACGAGGTAAAATAGTCCTCCCGTCCACCAAGCCACACATCTGCGGCACAGTCCGACACCCCCAACCCAAAAAAGAAAAAGGCCGACGAGTCCCAAGCCGAAGACAGCGCCGCCTTTCTGGCGAACGATCTCGCCCTCCAGCGCCTCATCGCCGAGTCCCACATCCTCTCCGCCGCCGGCGGCAACGCCTCCCACTGGCAGTCCAGCGCCGCCGCAGAAACCGCCGCCAACACGCGCGCCTTCGCCGCCGGGCGCACCGCGAAGAAGACTACCGATATGAGATTCCAGGCGCTGGGGGCCAAGGACAGCATCTTGGGTCAGGCTAAGATGCCCATGGCGATGAGGAAGGGGATTGTGAGCCATGCCGCGGCGAAGGAGGCCAAACGGAGAAAAGAGGCAAAGGAGAATGGGATTGTGCTGGAGAGGGAGGTGAAGAAGAGCAAACCATCGAGGGGGAGGAGAGGTGGTGGGAGAGGGGAGCCAAGGGAGGTGGGAGCACCGGGGGTAGGGAGGATGAAGGGGGCCACGCTGAGGATTAGTGCAAGGGAGGCGGAGGTGTTGAATAGACCCGGTCCTGCGAGGAGGGGAGGAGGACGGGGTGGGAGAGGGGGGAGGAGATGATTTCTCTCTCTCTCTCTCTCTCTCTCTCTGTCAGGGTTATTTGCATCTCGAAGGAAGAGAATCTGGATTGGGGTTGGTTGATGGGATCTCACGGGCACGGCAACTTTGATCCTGCAAGTATCTCTCTCCCCACAAGGGGACACTACCCAGACTCTCGAAAGGCTTATCTGAGATAAGCATGCACTTTGGCGGCACTCAGATCTGGATTGCTATTTTGAAACAGAGATTTCCCACCCCCCTTGGCCGACCTGTTTCAAAACATGTTTTTGGAGCTGGGCCTCGGGGATGCCTGCTTATAGTTTGTACAGAGGTTCAATATCCCGACCCCGAACTTGAGTCCTGACACCGTACCCATACCCCTACTGGCACGGCATTTGTGGATGGAAAGGGGCTAGGGGTGGGGAGAGGAGAGGGGATATGATGCGGCTCAGGTTCGAAGGGGGATTTGTTGTCTTGGGTGTAGCAACAAGCAAGCGGGCAAGGACTGGAACTCGGGGTTGAGCAGATTGGGTTTTGGTTCACGGGAGGGAGGGGGGGGGATGTTGTGCAGGTTGACTGTTGCAGCGGCCATGCCCCCAGCCAGGAGGTCGACGAACGACGGGCACGGGGCCACAGGGGGGGAAGGGATCTAGAACATTTCCCCGTTGGGGTTGTGCTTGTAGCGGCCGCCAGGGACCGGCTGTTCTACCCGGCTGGTCGGACTTTGGCCTTGGTGGTCATGGGGGCTGGTGGGCAGGATGGGCCATCTCAAGATCTTGTGGTGTTATGCCGTCGGTAGTTGATTGGGTTGGGTTGGGTTGGGGCGTGTAGATCATATGGTCTGTAGAATAGGTCTTGGGGGTCGCTTAATGCAGATGGTTGTTGTCCAAACATTGATGTTGATACTTTGCAAGTTGATCATCATGGGTTTGTGGAAACGTCCACCCATGTTGGGAGTTACTGGGACACCGTGATATAGGTTTTTGATGTGTCACTTTGACATGGAAGATATGTGTGTTACTTGTGAGATGTTACACCTCAAGATACCAAGTCAGAAGCGACATCGATATGTACCGTGTTACATACCGATGCCTCGTTGCAAAGATCGTCTCCTCCAAAATTCTCTGTGCAATCCTACCTCGCATCGGGAGCTTGGTGGTATTGTAAACACCCAGAAAGCATATCACATCCACCAAGTCACTCACTCGAGCAAGAAAGTCTATTCAAATCATCATTTCAATTCAACTGCCTCCCACCCCACTCCTCAACTCTCCCGACATCATCTGGTATCTTTCAACTCCAATTCCTTCACACACCAAAAGAACAACACAAAGACAACCAAATCAAACCAGAAGAAGAAAAATAGAGAAAAAACAAAGAGGAAAAAACAGACAAGACAGCCACAAAACAAATCTCTCTCTCTCTCTTCCAATATATATACATAAAAATGTTAGTTTAGTTGTGTGTGTTATTTGTTTTGCGTGTGCCTCGTTCTGCCTTCCATTGTTGTTTCCCTCCCTCCTTCCTAAAAACCCTCCTCCCTATAAAATTTCTTCCAAAATCCACCACCCATCTCTATTCTTCGTGAATGCATCAACAGTCGATTGCAATCATCAATGTGAAAAGGTTTTTGACCAAAACAAAAAAAAATTGTAAACAAAAATGATAAAAAAAAAGATACACCGCTCTTTTTCGGTGTCCAAGAAAGATCTTCCCTTGCAAAGATGATGTCAAAAATGATAAAAATAAAAAAAAGAAGAAAATGCCAAGGTGGGTTGTAAATGGGCTCCGACAGCAAACAAGTGCGGATAAGAAGATGGTGAAGGAAAAAAAATGTCCCGCCGATTCCAAAAAAAGAAAGAAAAAAAAAGATCCATCATGCCGCTCTTCTGCCAAGAAAGTCTTCCAAATACTCCTAGTTCCATCCCTGACCCTTATGTTTTGTACAGCACTATCCCACACAGTTTCACATTCCAAACATTTACATCATACCGCCGGCGTTGATGGCCTGAGGGTGGCTTATCGTCATGGGCATGCTAAGAGTCTGAAGGCTGTTGTATTGCTGTGGCGCTTGGTGCATGTTGGGACCGTTCGATGGTGGCATGCCGTTTTGGTTTTGGTGGTTGTGAAGAGCCGAGTCGAGGGAACCGGCGACGTAGCCGTTCTCCGAGGTTGGCGACGCGTCATCGAGAGACTCGAGTTGGTCCTCGCCAGAGTACTGCTCCTCCTCCTCGCCGGACAAGCTGAAGTTGCCATCAACACCGTCACCGCGATCATGAGTGCGCTTGTGCCTGCAGAGAGACATCTTGTTAGTCCATGCTTCAAAATACCCCTGGTGAGTGTGGTCGGCGTGGAGGCTTGTGCTGTGAAATGTGTCCTTCGGCCATCTTTCCATGTATTGGTATGCCACTTGCACAACTTGCTGCTGCTCTTCCCACTTGTCCACTGACAAAGGAAAAAATACATGAAGGAAAGAACGGGGGCATACTGTGCTAGGTTGTCTGATCTGGAGAATGCTTTGCTGCAGTAAGGGCAGATGTAGGGTCTTTCTTGTGTGTGGGTTCTCACGTGTCTGGAAGGTTTGTTTGGTTAGATAACGCAACGGGAGGTTTTGCATCGCTGATATGTTGAGAAGAAAAAAAACACTGTCTTACCGTTTGAGGTGCTCTAATCTCTTGAAGAGACGACCGCATGTGGGAATGGGGCAGGAGTGAGACTTTTGGGGATAGGGGCCGAGCTCCATGACCGTGGCAGAGCGGGCTCTGCGCACGACACCGGGAGCACCCTGCATCATTGGCCTTTCGTTCAGAGGGCCGAGCTCATCACCGTTGAGTGGCGAGAAATCTTGCTGAAGGTTGACGGGGTTGAGCGCAGGGCTGCCCTCAACTGTCGACAAGGGAGTACCGTGGCGAGACATTTCGAGCATTTCCCTGTGATGTTGGCTGTTGAGAGAGATAGCAGAGTTGCTGTAGGTCAAGCCCGGTGGGGAGTTATCCGCAGACTCGTCACCCTCAGCAACGGGACCGACGGACGCAGAGACGGATCTCCGCAGGTCCGAAGGACGATGAGCAGCGGTCGCTGTCGCAATCGCAGCAGTGGTGGCCGACAGGGATGGTGGAATGGATGAACGCCGTCTCCTCTGCTTGTATGTCGGCGATCCTTCGATCACAGAGAAGCTGTTGTTCGCAGCGTACGGGCGAGAGAACGATGGCCCAGCGAGGTTTGATGGTGGGAGCTGCATCATGCCGTTGAGCCCAACATTCATGTGGTCGGGGATAGCGCTGTAGAGACCGGTCTCCTCGTTGGCAATGTAAGCGGGCTCGTTGGGAATACCGAGAGCCTGCTGAGGAGGCGTCAAGGGCTCGAAGGAGATGCCCCTTTGGCTGTAGTCCTCAAAGTGAGAAGACACAAATGAGGGCGCAGGAGAGTACTCCAACCCGTACGCGGGCATGGAAGCGTGCCTTTGGTGGGTCTGGGCAATTGGGACACCGTTCTGGTTGTACTGAGCACGGGGATACTCAGGCTCGCGCTTGATCATTGGCTGGGGGGCCATCGAGGGCGCCATCGTCATCGCTCCGTACGGGACCATGGCGTCCATCCCATCCGCCAAAGGGGCCATCGACTGAGGGATCATCTGTGGCGGTGGCATCGAGTCCATGGCGCGCATTACCGGCGAGGTGGACTGGGACTGAGAAAAAGAAACTTGCTGGGCGTTGTTGAAAGACGAAGAGTTGGCCTGCTGAGCCTTGGTGAGCTGCTCATAGAGCGACTGCGACGAGTCGTACTGGAACGAGAGCGCGGGCTCGCTGACGGCGACGGTGGTGGCTTCCTGGCCCATCTTTTCCCTCTTGAGGTCTCTTTCGAGAGCATCGAGGAAAAGCCTGTCGTGGGGAACGCTGTACCAGTAAAAGACCTTTTGCTTCTTTTGTGTCCTGATGCAGTTGTTCTTGTAGAGAAAGTCCAAAAAGGGGCTCTTGGGCTCCTCGAGCGAGGCATCGGTTCCCGACTTGAGATTTCGCAGATCCGAGAAGATGCCTTCCTCAAACTTCTTGGAGTTTTTTACTGGACGACCAAAGGCCTGGAAGCGGAACGAGAGACATCTTACGATATCGGTGCCGGAGATGTGGAAAAGGTTGTTCCAGAGAACGCAGGAGACGTACTCGCCCGTTGGGAGAAGAAAGCGGCGAATGTACTGGTCGGCTTGCCAGTCAACTGGCGCAGAAATAAGAAAGTATTTAACTGCAGACTGTGTCAGTGCTTGTGGCGCGACAGATGCGCTGATCCGGGATCACCACTCACGGTTATCAACTTGCTGCAGAGCTACCTGAGCATCGTGTGGGAGAGCTTGCTGGGCTTCCGAGCTCAACATGAAGGTCTCTGGTTTTTGGGGTGCGGGCATGGCCGCGTTTTGCTGTGAATACATTTTGGGTGGGAAGCCTGTCGACTAAGAACAACACAGTTGCTTTGCGAACAGGGGGTGCCCGGATGAAGAGGGAAAGAAACGATACTGGCTTGGCCGTCGGCGCGATAATATGTATATGCGTGTGGTGATGATGATGATGATGATGATGATGATGATGATGCCGGCGCAGGTCGAATCAGGCGCTGCCTTCGAGGTGCGATGCCGTGGTGATTTTAAAGATGTGATGGTTCCCGAGGCCAGCCCGTGACATAGGAAATTCTTCTACACGATGGATAGTTCCAACCCAATTCCCCTCGCTTGAGGTGCTTTTGCTTGCTGTTCGCGGATCGAGGTGCCGTACGCTTGCCGGGCCTAAGCGGAAGGGCAACGGCTTCGGAAACAATGGGTGGTTTATCGAAACGAAACCAATCAAAAGATCCCCAAGAATATCGGCGGCTATCGGGTGCGGGTGCGCGCGATGGTGATGGGCGGGGGAGCTGCGACGCGGAATGTCTGATGTCCGGGGCAGGTCGATTACCTCTGGGGTCTCTCGAAGGGAATCAGACGGGGGCGAGCGACTGGACGTGTAGACAGATGTGAGTGGTTCGTTGGACAGGTCTGGTAGGACTAGCCAAGCATAAAGTAGATAGGAGACAGAGTGGGAAAGGGGAAAAGGAAGCTCCCGCGATACTGTCCAGAGAAGGGGAAAAGAAAAAGGGAGGGGGGGAGGATGTGGAAAAAAAGGGTCTTGGAAAAAAGATCGCGAGAGAGGGCCGGAGGGGAGGGGAGCGGGCGAGCCTGGGGGTTTAATCACTTTGCTCGCTTGGGGGGGACCCGGTGCAGTGCCTGCCAATCAGTGCGTGGGCTCGCAGGCAAGGGGAGAAAAGGGTGCTAAAATGCGCAGTGTGGTACGGGCCCAAGTGCCAATGGCAAGCAGCTGCAGTAGCGGGGCCCCGGGTGGACTCTACGAAATGGGAGAGAGCGAGGAACAGACAGACAACCCTGCTCTGCCTCTGTCTTCCCTTGCCTTGCCTTGCCTTCCCTTCCTTGTCCTGGCACCCCATGGACCACCTGGGCATGGACTGCCCAAAGGGGAAGTGGGAGTGAGAGCGGGAGTGCACCATCACCACCACCACCGGGCAGCCAGGCCAGCAATGGACCGCACAGCACAGCACCCATCAAGCAGGCTCGGGCGCGGGCTCACCAAAAGGTCAAGAGCTGGTGGGATGGAAGAGGCGGCGGGTGTTGGTGGGAGGAGAGGCGGGGAGGCGTGATTCTAGTAAACAGAGGTTCAGTGAGATCAAGCCAAGAAAAAGGTGGGCGACTCGAGGGCTCGTGTGTTGATAGGCTGCCCCTTGTTGGAAAATCGGGTCCCACGATGAATGTTGCCAGGGTCGTGGCCGGGAAGTCCATGCCCTGCGAGCTCAGGGCCATCTGCCTGCGTTCGGCTTCCTGGCATTTGCCAGACTGTCAACTCGCGGTCCCTGACCCTCACTGACTCCGGCCGAGATGCAGCCCTTCATGTTTGTTGTTGATGGGATCCGAACAGAGAGAGAGGCTCGAGAGTTGTCAGCCAGCGCGTGCTCAACCGCAGCTACGGAGTCCACTAAGCAGCCGTTGTTGTTGTTGTTGTTCCTACACCTGTCTTCATAAGCACGACCGGGACCAAACAAGCCACACCGGTGCAGCATTGGGAAATGATGCTGGTGGCGTGAGCGCAGTCTTCAGCATGGCTGTCGTTCTGGGCTCAAAGTGGCAACCAGCCTCTTATCGACCGATCATATGTACGTACATATTTTTGGCAGGTAAAGTAAGCTCATTGCTAGGGATGTAGATCTCGGGTCTCTCTTCTTTTTCTTGTCTTTCAGAATGTCTTGAGTGGCCGTTGAAGAACCCATAACTTCCATGACTCTGTATTGGGCATTGGGCAGCTGCTGTCTCGATCTCTTGTGGCGCCCGATCTGTTGGATCTCGAGCCAGTCCTTTGTCGCCGTGGATTTCTTGTGTTCCTCCAGAGCAAGAAGCACTGGCCATCATGAGCTGCGGGATGCGGGATGCGGGATGGCGCTGCGGGTTGTGGGAGCGCGAAGAGAGAGAGCCACAGAGCCACAGAGCCACAGAGCCACAGAGCCGAGGCTGTCTTGTCAGCGGGCCTGAGTCGCTCGCGCATCTGGACCTAGCCCGACCTTCAAATTGCTGTTCATAAAAATACCCAGCTAATTACGATGCTACCCAGCCCTCGACATGGGTTGCTCGGTATTATGCCGACGACTTGTTGGACCTCCACTGTTGTTACCTTACTGTACACATCTGCACGACAGTCAGCGCTCATACGGCAAAGGCGGCGAGGGAAATGGAAGCGTGATGAATTACAGCTTGAATCATATCATTTGCATCTGAATCGCCCTCTCTCTCAGCGCTCAATCCACATCAGGAACGCCTCACATGGACATTGTCGTCCTTTGTTTCGCTTGCCGGCAGCTCTGATATCACGAATATTTGGCAGAAACGGCTACACACCACTGCGCTTTCCCAGGCTAATAATAAGACAAAGACCTGATGGGCATCCATCTTAGCAAGAGTCTGATGGTGTTGCGCACCGAGAAGGGGCCGGTGTGACGGAACACCTTCTTTTCCACATCAACACTCGGTTGTGGCAACTGGGAAACTCGTCATGATCATGACTTTTCATCTTCCTTGATGTTCACCAGCCCGACGCCGCCCGCCTCACCGCCAAGACAAGTCAACGTCGAGATACCTTATCCTGTCCAAGTCATCAACTTTACACCACCCCGCAGGACAAGACAGACCAGCTCCTCCGTGATATCCAACCCAACTGGAGAGCGGTTTACGAATTCGTGCCGCAGACGGACGCGCTTCCCCCCCCCCCCCCCTGGTTCTGCAGGAGGGGCAGAGGGGCAGTGCCCAGCCACAGTCTTTGAATCCCACCTGGTCACTTCTGAAACATGCTTCAGAAATAACTCACAGTCGCCGTGCCGGGGTTCTCTGCTTGGCACCAACGCAGAACGGTGCGTCGCTAGCTGCTGGCAAACGCCCTTCTTCCAGGTGCTGCCAGTTGATGTATCGATTCACCCCCCTCCGCGTGGTCAGCACATCACCACACACATCCTCCACAATAGCCGTCAGCCTCACAGTCCTTCCAGCCGTCTGTCCAGCAGCGCGCTGCCAAAAATGCACACACGCACCTTGCCGAACACGGGACTCCTTGGTGACAAAAAAGATGGAGGGCTCGGTCGTGCTCCGGCAAGTTATCATTGCGGGAAGGCCATCCATCCATCCCGCATCATTGCTGAGTGTACGAATACAGACACGGCATCGCTGCCGGAGCTGTCAAAGCTGTAGGGTGCCTTTTTCCGACCACACACACCATGGGCATGGCAATGGTCTGCCACCGATCGATATTCTGAGCACGCGGTCTGGAGGCGCCTCACCGAGCTCGCTCGGCTTACACTTTGCTTCATCCTTCCCGGCGGCAGAAGTCCTTGTTTCCGATCGAGACCCCCGCCGGCAATCCCTGGTTCCCCCTGGGTATATCGCCAAGTACGAATGCTGGCGGTACTCTGTCGGACCGCTCTTGGAAGACGCACACCCAGATTGGAAGGCTGGGGGCTTTGTTGACCCCAATGTATCGTGCAGTGGGGAGGTGACATTCGTCGTGTTAAAATGTGGGGGGAACAATATAGGTCGTGCCTCTCTACACAGCAACCAAAAACGAGCGGTGGGATGGAGTGGTCCGCTTGATCACCATGACCGGCATATTCTGAAACAAGAGGGCTAGCTGTGCCAAGAGCTTCTATTTCAACGGCGCAGCTGTTAAACTGACTGTTCTGTCGGTACGCACGTATCGCTGCCCAGGGGGCAGGTGAGCCTGTACAGCTCGGATGACCGGTATGCTTTAACAGCTGAACCCCCCCAAGGTGTGTTCACACGGCCATGTCGTGGGCAGAAGGCCTGATCAACTTCAAGACGTCAGGCTTGGGTGTGTTGTCTTGTAGGGAAGGGCTCTTGGCTGCTGCTGCTCTTCGGATTTCTACCAAGACTACTCGGTTGCCATATCAAGCACGCAGTTTGCCTCCCTGGTGTTGAGATCCATAACGGCGTTCGAGGACAAGGACGAACCACCAGTCAGCAATCACAACATGGCAAGCATAACATATTGTTCAACAACCGTCGGGGATCTAACACCGGCTCATCCAAGCAACTGGAAAGTGTTTGCAGCCCTTTGTCGAACCAGCACCCTGCTTGCTCTGTGGAAGTTGCGTAGCCGCCACGGTGGCGCATAGGTTTCTGAGAACCATGGATTATGTCCGCAAAGCCCGCCAATCAACTATCTGGCCCCCCCGTTCAGTTGCTCTTGCCTGGGGCGGCGTCTTTCTCACCAAGTAAACAGACAGACAGAAACAAGCTCGTATTTTTTCTGGCCACAAGTGTAACAGAGGCTTAATACTTCCGTCCGTAGGCGGCGGACAAACTTGCCGAGCGGGCAAGGCCCAACGGGCATGAGAAGGCTTTCAGTATTCTCTTTCTCTGTCCTACACAAAGAACAACTTCTCTTTTTGGTGCCTGAGAGTTGGTGGTGGTGTGATGCTATCCCTACGGAGTACACACCTCTCTATGCGGGGTTAGGGCTGGGTGTATAAAGACCATGGGATGGGGAACCCCCGAAAAACGGGTAGCTTCCCGCATCTCTTGTGTGTGTTTCAGAACTCTCTCTCTTCCACAAAAGTGGAAAGAAAAGGAGAAAAACAGGCTGAGCTTCTGCTACGGAATACCTTGCCGGTGCTAGCCTAGCAATTGCCAGCGAGGACCCAATGGACCACACCACAAAATTCAAGCATAAACAACGGTCATGCCTACCTACACTACAGAGCATTCGTCATCTAGCCAGCCAGCCAGCCAGCTGGCGACAAAAAACCGCTGATTAGCCAGGTGTTGAGCGGTTGGAGGAGAGGGGCCCGCGCTTGGGTCTTTTTTTTTATTTTTTCCCCGCGCTGATGCTG